TAAGCGGCCGGTGATCCGTGTCGTTGACTCCACGCGCCGACGTTCGTTCTCTTTTGCTTGCAGGACCGCTACCAAAACAAACACAAATCCTATTTCGTGCGGACCGTCGAGACATTTGACCTTGCCGAAAAGAGGTATGGATATCAGCGCAGCGCGGTTCTTGCTTCACTTCCGGTTTGCTATTTTCGTTTATTGTCTTCGTCCCTCCCTCTCCTCTCACATCCGTCATTCCTCTCTGCCCGTCAGTGATGAAGCGGCGGCCGGCGCGGACAAGCCAACCCTAAGCAAGACTCGAGTGTGGCTGGACGACGGCTCAACCAGAGGTGAGTTGTTCAAACAGGTTCAAGCCGGCGCGCTGGCGCGCTTGCCCCCTCCTTTACGCCTCCCTCGGCCGCACTGGGCTCCTCTTCAGTCCCCCTCCACGAAAAAAAAGAAAAACAACTATTTATATTTTTTCGCACACCATTTACTGGAGCACTGGAATTGCCTTCCCAAGACGCTGTCGTTTGCTTGCATGAGAATAATAGTGCAAATCACTTTACCTGGAACTCTTGACTTGCGGAGGACATCGCGTTAACGAGCGCCCTCTACCCCGCAGAGGTGTCGCGGGTGCGATGGGTCAGCATCAAGAAGCTGCGATACCTGTGGGACGAGCGGGCGGCGCGCTTCAGCCGCCTCGCCGGCCTGGACGGCGTGGACGCGGCCGACATCCACGGCGTCGCCCTCGCGCCCCTCAGCGACCAGCAGCAGGCCACCAGGTGAGCCCCTTCTCGAGGAAATTTAACTCTCCAAAAAACTATTATTTGTAAATTTTGCGATTTAAAAAAAAAATATACTGAATCTTCACTTTAAAAAAAGTTACATTTTTTTCAAATTTCCTGGATACATTTCGGACTTGAAATCCCTACTCCAGGCTGCGAAACAGTGCCAGAATGATGTCGACACGATGTCGACGTCGTTCGAAAGTCGGTCACACTGGGTCCTGTCGTGTCGACTCCGTCATCGCTGACCCCATGGCAATTTGCTTTTACCCGCAGGCGGCTGCTGTATGGCCTCAACGACATGGAGATCCGCGTCCAGGGCATGCTGGAGCTGCTGCTGCTGGAGCTGCTCAACCCCTTCTACGTCTTCCAGCTGTTCTCGCTGGCCGTGTGGTTCTCCGAGGGCTACTACTACTACACGATCGCCATCGTCATCATGAGTGCGTTCGGCATCACCTTCAGCGTGCGCCAGACTAGAGGGGTAGGTCTGGGCTCCGGTGACGGCCGTGACGGCTGTGTGCGTGACGGGCAGGTGACGACGGGGGAGCGCCATTTAGTGACAACTGTCGTGTCTGCCCTCCAGAACCAGATCTCGCTGCACAGCACGGTGCACTCCTCCGACGTGGTGACGGTGAGCCGCGGCGGGGGCGAGTTCGCCGACGTCAGCACGACGGAGCTCGTGCCCGGGGACGTGATCGTCATCCCTCAGCACGGCTGCACCCTGCACTGCGACGCCGTGCTGCTCAACGGCCACTGCATCGTCAACGAGAGCATGCTGACGGGTGAGTAGCGCCAGCGGCGGGGCCGTCGGACAGCGCGCGCCGAGCCGTCAGCGTGGCAGCGTCGAACGGGCAAGATGATGGCCTCGGTATCCTCCTCCTCCTTACAGGCGAGAGCGTGCCCGTCACCAAGACCCCGCTGGGCCGCGTGGCTGGCGTGCCGTACGACGCCAAGGAGGACGCCCGGCACACCCTGTTCGGCGGCACCACCGTCATCCAGACGCGCTTCTACGGCGAGCAGAGGGTGCTGGCCGTGGTGGTGCGCACCGGCTACCTCACCTCGCGCGGCGCGCTCGTCCGCTCCATACTGTACCCGCCGCCCGCCGATTTCCGCTTCGAGCGCGACTCGTACAAGTTCATCGGCATCCTGGCCGGCATCGCCGTCGCCGGCCTCGTGTACACCTGCGTCGCCAAGGTGAGCAGGGCCGCGCGCGCGGGGGCAAAACTGACTTTTAGGCCCCTCGTGTGGCAAAGTGATCTCATGAGATATGAGAGGAAAGTTTGTGGCCGGACCAGAATGGGCCGTCTGACCAGCAAGTTGTCTCTCGCACACGCCACAGGGGACGAGGGGCATCAGCGCGGGCGATATCGCGCAGAAGGCCCTGGACCTCATCACCATCGTCATCCCCCCGGCGCTGCCCTCGGCGCTCAGCGTCGGCAAGCTGTGCGCGCAGAACCGCCTGCAGAAGCTCAACATCTTCTGCGTCAACTCCAGGGTCATCAACGTGGCCGGGTCGCTGGACTGCGTCTGCTTCGACAAGGTAACGATGCGCGGCCTCCGTGGCAATCATTTTTATTATGCGACACTGTTCGCGACGACCCTGGGATGTTCGCCAGCCGAGAGTCCGGGGCCGACTAATGAAAAAGTTAAAACGAGACTGGAGACAAGTGCGTACCGGTGCTGGGAAGGGGCAGCGAGACGGAGTAGCCTGGCCGGGCCGGGCCGGGCCGGGCCAGGCCGAGCCGAGGGCTCATCATCCTCAGCCGATAAAACGCAGCCTTCTCCCTCGCACCCGCTGCACTTCCCGCGCGCCGCGCGCTCGTCCCGATCACTTGGCCGGGTATTGTCGCCGTGCCGCGGCACACAAGGTCAGCCCTCCTCGCTATCTCCCCCGCAGCGAGGACGCTGACGCTCCCCCCCGCACCCGACCCCCACGGTCCGCGCGCTCCGCCCGTGACCCAGTGATCCACATCCAGCAGGTGTCGAGTCAGTGACCACCAGCACAATTTTTTAAAATCTCAAAATTTGCATTGAGTATGTTTATGCGGTTGAAAAAAAAAATGTTACACTACGTTTTTGTACCGAACACGCCGTTTTCGTTTTGCCAGACCGGCACGCTGACAGAGGACGGCCTGGACCTGTGGGGCGTGGTGCCCGCCGAGGGCGGTGCGCTCGCCGACCCCATCAAGGACCCCCGCGAGCTGCCCGACACCCACCCGCTGCTGTGCGCCATGGCCGCCTGCCACTCCCTCACCCGGATCGACGGCGAGCTCGCGGGCGACCCCCTCGACGTCAAGATGTTCGAGTCCACCGGCTGGGAGCTGGAGGAGCCCGACGTGCCCGACACGTCCAAGTTCGACCTGCTGGTGCCGTCGCTCGTGCGGCCGCCGAATCAGACCCCGCAGGGGTCCGACGAGGTGAGTCGCCATTCTCACCGACCTCTCGACGCTCCTCGGGTCCCTCACTGTCGTACTCAACCCCGCCCTGCGTCTCCATCGCCCTCCAGGAGGTTCCTTACGAGATCGGCCTGGTGCACCAGTACCAGTTCTCCTCCACGCTGCAGCGCATGAGTGTGGTGACGAGGCAGTTGGGCGTCTCCAACCTGGTGGTCTACTGCAAGGGCTCGCCCGAGACCATCGCCTCGCTCTGTGAGCCCGAGACAGGTGAGCCACTCAAGCCGAACTCCATCAAAATCAAACAGAAAACATAAAACACGTCGTTACCCACCTTGTTACCTACCCTGTTACTTATCTGGTACTTACCTTATTACCTGTTACTTAGCTGGTACTCACCTTGTTACCTGTTACTTACCAGTTACCTTGTTACTTACCGCGTTACCTACCCTGTTACTCAGCTGTTACATGTTCCTTACCTGCTGCTTATCTGCTACTTACCTGTTACTTAGCTGCTACCCGTTACTTACCTGTTACTTTCCTGTTACCTGTTACTTACCTGTTCCTTGCCTGTTACTTACCTTGTTACCCATCTCGTTGACCCCACCCGCAGTCCCTGCCGGGCTGGCCGCGAGACTGTCCGCGCTGGCGAGCCAGGGCTTCCGCGTGCTGGCCGCCGGCCGGCGTGTGATCCCGGCCGCCTCGCTGCCGCGCCTGCTCAAGCAGCCGCGCGCCGACATGGAGCGCGAGCTGCACTTCGCCGGCCTCATCGTCATGGAGAACCGGCTCAAGCCGCAGACGCACGGCGTCATCCGCCAGCTCCAGGACGCCAACATCAAGGTCGTCATGGTCACAGGTGAGCGGTGAGCCGCGGTGAGCCGCGGTGAGCTGTGTCACGTCCTGAACGCATCGGTCCCGCTGCGCTCTGTGATGCTGGTGATGTGCGAAGGCCGACTTCAAACCACCACCATCATCATCACATGCAGTGTTACACTTACTGGGTGAACCCTCAATTTTTTCCTCGTCAAGCATTGCGCTACTTGTATATTTAACAGCCACGTGCCGTATGAGTGTTTCACATGCCCTCGCGGTTGTCGAGTTTGTTTTGACTTTTCGCTGAGATCGTTAAACTGTACAGTCTGAGTTCACGGAGGGAAGGGGGTTGGGGGAGTCCCTGGTATGCGACGGACGTCACTCGGTGCGGCGAGCGAGTTATGCCTCGCCGCGCCTCCTGTACGTCACGTACGTGCCCTTTGTGTCCAGGTGACAACGTGCAGACGGCGGTGTCGGTGGCCCGCGAGTGCGGCATGGTGTCGCCGCGGCAGCGGGTCGTGTCCGTCGACGTGGTGCTCGGCGACAAAGACGGCCCGCCCAAGGTCATGTACTCTACGGCCAGCCAGCCCTCGCCGTCGTTCAGCGCGGTAAGTTTTCCTTCTCGATTAGTGTGAAATGCTGAACTTCCAGTGCGCAGTGTGTGATGACCCTCCCGTCGCTCTGCAGGTGGGGCCGGCCAGGATGCAGCAGCAGAAGCAGCTGGCCCGCGTGGAGAGCGGCGTGCTGCAAGAGACCCCCTACGTGTTCGCCGTGACGGGGCGCTCCTGGGCCGCGCTGCGCGAGCACTTCCCCGACCTGCTGCCGCGCGTCTGCGTGCGCGGCGCCGTCTTCGCCAGGATGTCCTCGGACCAGAAGCAGCAGCTCGTCAACGAGCTCCAGGACCTCGGCTACTACGTGGGCATGTGCGGCGACGGCGCCAACGACTGCGGCGCCCTCAAGGCTGCCCACGCCGGCATCTCCCTCTCCGACACCGAGTCCTCGGTGGCCGCGCCGCTCACCGCCAAGGAGCCGCACATCGGCTGCGTGCCGCACGTCATCCGCGAGGGCCGCGCCGCGCTCGCCACCTCCTCGAGCATCTTCAAGGTAAGCTGGACGAGCTAACCGAAACGACATTTTTTTAATTTCCCATTTAAACCCATTTTTACAACATTTACATTGACCTTGTGCCCTCCCCAGTTTATGGTTGCCTACTCGCTGACGGAGTTCACGTCGGCCATCGTCCTGTACGGCATGGACTCGAATCTGACTGACCTCGAGTTTCTCTTCATCGACGTGGGCCTGGTGATGAACATCGCGTTCCTGTTCAGCAAGACGGACTCGTACCAGGGCCCGCTGGCCAAGCACGCTCCGCACACCTCGCTCGTGTCGCTCAGCCCCATCCTGTCCCTTACTCTGCTCATGGGCTGCAACATCGCCTTCCAGGTCGGTTCTTATTCGCGAGCATTCGCGAGTGATAACTGTTCTCCCCTCATGCACATTCTCTCTACCCACCTTGCCCCCTCTTCCTCTCCAGGCGGCGGCCTACCACCTCACCAGCATGTTCTCCTGGTACGAGCCATTCGTGCCCGAGGACACCAAGGACTACGCGTGCCTGGAGAACTTCTCCGTGTTCAGCGTGTCCATGTTCCAGTACATCGTGATGGCGGTGGCGTACTCGCAGGGCGCGCCGTACCGCGCCTCGATCCTGACGAACCGCTGGTTCAGCGCGATGCTCGCGCTCATGGTGGCCGTGTGCGTGTACATCACCATGTGGCCAGCCGGCTGGGTACAGTCCGCGCTCCAGCTCGTCATGCCGCCCTCCGACTTCCGCGAGCTGCTGCTGGCGCTGGCTGCCGCCAACTTGGTGGCCTGCCTGTTCTTCGAGAAGGTGGTCGTGCAGTGGCTGGTGCAGGACAAGCTGCGCTACTGCTGCCACGACGTGTCCAAGTCCCGTCGGAAGTTCCTCGCCGTCGACGGCGCCCTGTCGGACACGGAGCACTGCTGGCCGCCCCTCGAGGACCTGCGCGTGCTCACCGGGGCCGGGGCCACCGGCGGCGTGGCGCTGGTCGTGCCGCCCGCCAGCGTGCCGCCCACCCCCGAGGACCCCGTCCCCGTGGCGCGCACCATGCTCAAGGCCACCGTGCTCAAGGCCATGGGGCCGAGCGCCGGCGGAGACCCTCTGGCCTTGCCCAGCATATCGATGGTGGTGAGCGAGAGGGAGCGCTCCGAGATGACCAAGCTCTGAGAGACTCCTGGTCCTGGTCGAGACTCCTCTTAGCACCGCAGTGTGTTGCCTCCTCCCTGCTCACCGCCTCCAACAGGGTGGGGGTGGTTTGCGTCTCAAACGCCAAACCGGCGTATTATTGTCCCATTTTAGGATCTCGGAGTAACTAGAATGGCCGTGAGTTTGAAAGGAAGGCAGAGAATTATTTCCGACTGTATCAGATCACCCTCCTCGCAAGCTTTGTCAATTGATTTAGATAGAGTTTGATTTTTTTCTCACATTCAATATTTAGGCCAAGAGCACCGACAGTGTAGAAAGTTACCACAATGCTATTGCCCACATATGGTTTCCCACCTCAGCTAAAGTACCTGAATATGTATGTAATTGTGTAGGATGAGTGAGGACCATATTGCGCAGGCCTGAAACGTGATTCGGTTTGACGGCGGCATCAGACGAAAGGGCAACTGTATTTTTTTTGTCCGGGAGAACATAACAAAGAATGAAAAAGTATTGATAACATAAGTATTAATATTTAAGATAATGTACATGTCGACAAGACGGCCT